GAGAGAGAGAGAGAGAGAGAGAGAGAGAGAGAGAGACCTTTCCTTAGAGCCAGTGCCTTGACTCTGGATGTCTAGTCTTCTGAACTGAGATGGTCGATTTCTGTTAGTGAAATCTGCCATGTAGAGGTATCTCTGTGATAGCCGGTCTAAATCTTTATCTCTGGGAAGTGCTGGGTTCTTAAAACCGTTGTTCTGTTCCAGGCTTTTAAAACTGGGAGCTGAACAACTAGGTAAAATGGACAGAAATCTCTGACTAACTGTTCCTTTCCATAACTGTGAGCTTCCACCCTTTCTGCTCTTTCTCTAACCCCCAATTTTCTACCCATCGTGAACTCTGGCTGCACATCGGTGTGTTCCCCTGCTTTGATCACCCACCGGAAGTTGATACTGCATCTTCACTGCTAACGTGAATTGTTGGAACAGTGATTTTAGAAAGCAGTGCCAGTTACATCTTTAGCTCAAGTACCACGAGAACTGGACTCTCCTTCTGTCACTGGAAAGGACCAGACTTTAGTGAACAGATAGAGACCCTGGCCAGAGATGTGTTAATATGGTGTCTGACATAAATGCAAAGTGTATGACATGGGCTTTTAAATTTACTTTTACTTTTACACACCTTACAGATGGACTAGAAATAACTTAGAGGTTAACAAACCCAGTGTCTAGAAACTGCTTGCATGGAATTGACTTATAGTACCTCCCAGGTTACCAAATAAGAAAAAGTGAGCAGTAGTCACTGTCGTTATTGTTGGGTGGCGTCGAGAGAGAGGGTACCAAACCATAGCAAACTCATGCATAGCAGCATGAAACACTGCCTGCTCCTGGGCCATCCTGTAACTGCACAGTAATTAATATCTGCGTCAGGAAAAAGTATTGTAATTTTAGGAATCAGACGCTTCAAGAACTTAACTCAGAATGCTCCTTTTGGTGCCAAATGGCCTGGGACATTATAATTCAAATGGGTAAAGGAGGAAAACATGATTGCTGCAGGTCCTTGCGATGTAATGTTGCCAGCATTCTCGCCACCATTTGAAAACAAGCAAACAAAACAAATGCTTTTGAAGCAGAATGAAAAGCATAACTTTTTCTAATTTAGTTGGGTGCCTCATGAACCGGAAAGTATTCAGGGCAGATAACCAGGAGAGTGTGCAGAAATGAAGTTAATGGAGTCAATTATGGTGCATTTAAATAAATACAGGCAGATTGTCACTATTTGCCAAACTCCGACTTAAAGTGATCACTGTGAGCATAACTCACTAACTGGATGTGCACTCTTACATACCTGCCTGTAATGACTGCATTAGCTTGGCTTAACCATATGGGGATATTTTTTAGTTTGCTCTTGGGCTGTCTTGTTTATATTCCATTAGGAAATGAGAAACTAAAGTTTTCTTTATAATTATGCAATGATGCTAACATCACATTATCTCTTAGACATGAAAAACTAACATCTTAGTCACTCATTAACCTCCCTCCCCTTTTTCCCCTTGGGTCAGATAATTTGTATGAGTGGGGATGGCGGCAGGTAGTTTGGTACAATTGTATAACTGATGACCTAGGACTCATTGTCTAGTTGGGAAAGCCTTGCAGAATCATTGTTTGTAGTACTCGGGAGTACTCTGCAGTACTCCTGCAGTATTCTGTAGCACTCCAGAGTACCTTTGGCTGTTAACTGAGAGGTTGAGAACTTGCCGCCACCCAAAGGCACATTGAAGTAAAGGCCTGGCAACCCACTTCCAAAATCTCCGTCGCTGCAAACCTGTGGAGCAGAATTCTTCTCTGAATCACATGCGGTTGCCACAGATCCTTTCTTTTTTACGACCACCTAAGGAAATAGACACATTTTAATTCTGATGTAGATTTTGAGGGTTTTTATTACAGAGTCACCACTGCTGTGGTGGTTTGTGTGCCATCGAGAGGGTTCGAACCCCTAGCAAACTCATCCACAGCAGAATGCCCCCCC